ATAGCACTGAACTCCATCTGTCATTCAGAAAAAAATTAGAATTTATATGAATTTACAATTCAGGAAGTTATTATCAGTACAGATAATAACTTTTTGAACTATAAATTTAGCAAGAAAGTGAAAATTATCCAGAAGGAAGGAGTTTTTTTTTATCTTGCAACTGCTTCAATTTATTAATCAATGATCTAAGAAACGAGTTAAAGTCCTTTGGAGCCTTAAAATCTGAAAACATCGTAGTAATTATTAGGTTTTTCCATTTAACACAAATTTCTAGTGAAAGATTTGCATTAATTAAGAGAATCATCCAACAGTCATCTCATTTTTGTCAGATGAGTTGAAAGTCATTCATCGATCCTAATAAAGCTACATCACGATAATTCGTAAAAAAGCCAGCTCTTGTAAGATTTTTATAGCATAAACCATCAAAAATATTACCAATTTTGTTTTTGGCAGAATATTCATCAGTGTTTATATATTTGTTTCGATATTAAAGAAGTTGTGCTCATTTCTTATCATTATATTGCATTTGTAACGAATTTATAATTGATTAATATATGGCTTTTTTCCAGCCCTCAGATAACTTTTCTCAGTTTTTGCCAATTTTGTATTGCTCTTCATTACATGTGAAACATTGATCTTTATTAGTATTCTCTCCAGTAAATGCCACGCAGGAGTTAATATAGCAGTCAATAAGATTTGGTTTAATCAGCACTTGTTTTCTGAAAAACTTTTAAAATTTGTATAGAGTAATGCGTGATATTTCCATACTTCCAATATCTCATTGAATGCTATCTCTGAAATATTATGCTGATCTTTTATTTTGAGGAGCCAGAGATCTTTAATCATCTCTTCAGATAATTCTGTGTAAAAATGGGAACAAAAAATTTTATAAGAAAATAAAAAAATCAAATCAAAATTACCAAGGTTTAATGAATACTCTCTTTTTTCTGATAGGCTAAATTCTTCCTCTGATCCTCCTTCTAATAATTCTAACAATTTAGGAGAAATATCATTTCCATTATCTGAATCTATCAGATCATCTTCCGATATATTCACTGATCCTTCTTCTGATAATTCAGGAGAAATGTCATCCCCATTATCTGAATCTACTGGATCATCTGCAGATAGATTCTGTTGCTCCAGACTTTCTACTGATTATTTCAGACTTTCTGCTAATTGTTCTAAGACTTCGATTTCTATTGGTTCTAAACTTTCAGTTGATTGTTCGACTTCAGTTGGTATTTTTTTTGGTTTCGATTGGAAACCAGAAAAATAGATATATTATCTGGAATAAAAGTAATTAACGGAACTTGATCTGGATCTGAATATTCTTTTTCAATTTTCATATGAATTGAATGTGTTTTACGAGTGATGAGTTTGCCTTGACTATTTGTTTCTTTCAGATAATTAACACAGGAACAAAGAATTTTATCAATCATGTTAAAGGAATATATTATGGAAAATATTTTTGTAAAAGAAGAAAATAAGGAGAAAGAGGGAAACTTGCCTTTATTTATAACTTTAGAAGTACCTGATTTAAAATGTTAATTAAACTTTTTCGCAATTTACAATTATAAATGGCCACGGAGATCGGATCTGATCAGGTTCGTGATAAAAATCTCATGTGTTGAATCAATTCGAATTGTTCTGAATTTGGTTCTGACGCAAGCTCCCGGGTCCCCAGGCCTCCAGCTTGCCCAGTCCTGGGCAAGCAGCCTGGGGGCCAGGATTTGCCTGTGGGTGATGCTGCGACCAGGACCCAGCCTCGGGGAGCTGGCATCAGGAGTGCGGCTCCCCTCGGCCTAGTTTGGTATTAGTACACCTCAAAAATTAATAAAGAAGACAGTTGATCGCAATTATATATATACTTTCTGGAATTTATCATTTTTACTATATTTATTATTTATCATAATATATTGTAGTAATCTGACATATTATAGGGATCCAGAAAAGTCATAACCTAATATATCTGGATAAATGTAGCAGATTACTGCAATATATCTGGCTAAATAATCAGATCACTGCAATATATCTGGATATAAAAAAATCTGATGTGTTAATAGATATATCAATCACGTCAGATTTTTACCTGATATTTGGCTGATATATATTAATCACATATATAAAAAAAATCTGATGTGTTAATAGATATATTAATCACGTCAGATTTTTTTCATATTTTGATAACAAAAATCTGATTTGGTTTACGTGATTAATATATATCAGCCAAATATCAAGTAAAAATTCGACGTGGTTGATATATCTATTAACACGTCAAATTTTTTTATATATGTAGTTAATATATATCAGTCAAATATCAAAAAATCTGACATGGTTGATATATCTATTAATACATTAGATTATTTCATATTCTGACAGCAAAAATTTGATGTGGTTTACATGATTGATATATATCAGCCAAATATCAGATAAAAATTTGACGTGATTAATATATCTATTAACATATCAGATCTTTGCTATCAGAATATGAAAAAAATCTAACGCAATTGATCTTTTCAGACGTATATGGATTACTAAAAAAATGATCTTTACTTTCTTTCTTTTTTTTCTTTTTTTTAGAAAAGAAGCTTTTCACAAACCAATCACAAACCAACCAAAAATTAATTACAAACCAACCACAAATCAACCACTCAAACCAATCACTCAAATCAATCACTCAAATCAATCACTCAAATCACTTTAATTCCAAAATGTCAAGCTGTAACTTAACTTTTGACATCCATAATTTGACTGTTCAACAACGCGCAATCCTATTTTTATAACTTCTAAATGATACTATTATGCTTAGTATCTTCTCGTTAGAACAAAAATATCAAATGCATGAGCGTTTCAGTTTTTCAGATTTGAACTTAATGCAGACTACTTCATTTATTGGTATCGTAAATGAACACGTAAGATTTCTATGTATTTTCCATCAATTTAAAAGATTATTAAACTTTTACTTTAGTATCTGAAAGATTCAAGTTTAAATCCATACAATAAAAAAGAATTTGTCAAAGTGAAAGAAGAGAATAAAAATATAATGTGACCAGAATTTTTAAACATGGATAAATGACAATTTGGAGCTCACCGGGTATTTTTTCAAATTTTCTTTTCAAGCTTCCCGTTACTTATTTTGCTATTGCTATTACTTTTAGGATT